GATCTGCATTGGCTTCAATTATAATGGAAATGACACCAGCCTCAAGGACGAATGCAACAATTGAGAAACTTCTCCCTATTTCCCCCCCTCTTTTGAAAGATGAGTTTCCTAATGTCAGGCTAAATATTATCAACAAGCCTGATTAAGTGAACCAGATTATTGGTATTGATCTCTTATCTCACTCCTCTATTTTGCACACCCTTTCTCTCTTATTTTAGTTGCTCATTTTATTTTGATTTTGATTTTATCTTTTATTTTGCTATGATAGTTTTTTTTGTTTAATTATTTTTATCATTTGTTGCATATTCAATTTCTATTTCATTTCAATTCTGATCTTTATTTAGAATTGTCAATAAAAATAAAAAAAAACTAAAAACAAGTATTTTACTCAAAATAAGTTCAATAACACTTGATCAACAAAGTGGTTTATTCTCAATAAACTGTTCACTTGTCATTCACTAATTTCATTAAAAAAAATCAAAGTCATCTTAAAAATATTTTTACCAAAACTTTGAGGAAAAATGATTAAGTGGGTGCAGACCTTCTCTCTCCTTGAGTGTTTGGACATTGTTGTAGAACTCTATGTTCAAACTCTCGTCTTCTGTATTAAAACACGATAATCAATTAAATTTTGTTGGTTATCCTATAGAAGAAAAAATATTATTTTGCTGGTTCTCCTGTAGAAGAAAAATGATTGAGTGGGTGAAGATCTTCTCTTTTCCAATTATTTGGGCAGTGTTGTAGAGCTCCTTACGCAAATAATTGTCTTCTGTTAACGAACCTTGACTTAATTCTCCATACATTTTTCACAATAATTTAGAAGAAAAAAGATTGAATGGGTATAAACCTTCTCCTTCCTCGAATATTTGGACACTGTTGTAGAGCTCCCTGTCTGAATACTCGTCTTCAGACTAAAAACAATCTCAATAAATCAAACTCTATTTTTTGCCCTAAGGCAAATGTCAATTTTTTTCTTCATAAACAAACATGTTATATCCGTTCCATCGCAATACAAATAAATGTTTAATTCTCTCATGCACGAGCTAACAAGCGATGTTTAACTACTAGAACGCGGTCTTAACATCGTTCAATAAAATCAACCAACAAACATTTTATTTTACCACGAACTACGAAACTCTGATTTTCTTATTGCACCATGAGAATACATTAGGCACGAGATTTCTAAATCTTGGCGAACACATTAATTAAAAACTTATTTTTCCTTTAATTAAAACGTTTATACGAAATCAAATAATAAATCGGTAATCGCAAGTAACTCTTAGTTAGCACTTGTATACGCAAAACGATCAAAATGATTTATGTTGAGTACACCGGATGTGAGTGATGCTAATACCTTCCCCTTGCATAACCAACTTCTGAATCAACTTTTAGTTGCGACGACCATTCTTTTTTCATTTTTCGTCGTGGGGTTTTATCGATATTTCCCCTTTTCTTTAAAATAAATAAAGTTCGGTGGCGACTTTGTTGTATTTCAAACGTTCCTCACGCTCGGTTATTTTTCGCGGTGCGACATTATCATCTAAAATTTGTCCATCAAAGTTGGAAAAATAAAAATTGATATGATAAAGAATGGTGATGGGAATGGATTAAAGACCCAAAGCAAATTTATGCATTGTTTACCTCCTATTATAAGGATTATTTGCCCTAAATAATACTACACATGAATGTGACAATATGAATAATGACATGAGATGGAATATAGATGGAAAATGGGAAGCTTTCTAGGTTGTTTCATGTGATATCATTAGGGGTGTCAACGAGACAGGGAATGTGCAAAGGATGTTTCCCCGTTCCCCACCCCGTCCCCCAATTTTTCCCTCATCCCCGATCTTTGCCACGGGTGAATATTTTTTCCCATTTCCACGGATCCCCACGGTATCCACGGAGATCCACAAATTTCAAATCTTAATTTTTTTTCGATCAAAATTGTGACATTAACATTTCGTTATTTTATTTTATAAAAAAAAACATATATTTTACATATTTATTATTTAAAAAAAAAACACATTGCATCAATAACAAAATATATAAAAGCAATTGTAGTTGCTAATTATTTTTATGGCTATCATGCATACTCTCATAATGCGTAGAAAAAATAGCAAATTAGAATTGTCAAATATCCAAAATAAAATACTAATAAATATCCCACAATGAATAGCAAAATAGAATTGGATGAGAATCTAAAATATCAAAGCAATCACCCAACAAAAGTTATAACTGAAGTTATTTAGACAAAATTAATCTAAATAAACCAAAACATAAAAAAATTATTCAAGAAAGTCATGGTATCTTCTTCATCTTTCCGATTTTTCATGATAGGTCTTCATCACTATTCCACAAGCATGCTTTACTTTCTTTTTCCTACAAAAATTAAACACATGTGCATCGTTCACTTTTCTAGGATTAGTTAATAAAATCTCCACTAATGACTAATGAGTAATGACTTTTTATTTCTCAATAATATAATAACTTTTTTATTAAAAAAATATACAGTTATATAATTATTATATTTTATATAATATTATAAATATAAAAAAGATAGTTAATAATATGGTCGGATTCGGGGAATTCGTAGGGCGAAGGGTACTTCCACGATCCCCGTCCTGAAGTTTTATCGGGGAAATTTTTACCTCCATCCATGTCCTTGAGAGAAAAAAAACTTCGACTTTGGAGCTCCGAACAGATAATCCCCATGAAAATTCCCGTTAACTTATGCAATAAGGACAAATATGAGGAACACTTCATTAGACCTAATGGCCAGCAGTGTTTATTGCTAATCTTGTGCGTAATTACGACAATGTTGAATTGGTTGCAAATAAGATAATCAGGTTGTACAAGGAGGTGAGGTTGATTAGTTGGAAGTCACCACCTATGAGATAAGTTAAGTTAAATACTCATGAAGTTTGTTTGGAGGATGAGAGAGTAGGGTGTGGTGGTATCATCATGGATAATAATGGCAAATGGCTAGGAGCTTTTGCCAAGAAGCTAGGATTGTGTAGTGTGTTAGTGGCAGAGCTTTAGGGGTTTAAGAAGGTTTGATGGTTGTTAGAAGGCTAGGTTTGAGAGTGATCAGGATTAATGTTGTTTCGGTCGAAATAATGAATGATATAAATAACAGTAAATATGGTAATCACATTGGTAGAGCTTTGATTAAAAAGATTTGATCCTTTGTAGCGCTAAAGTGGGAGATTGTTGTTAGACATGTTTATTGTGAGGAAAAATAGTGCAATGACGCATTAGCTAGAAGTAGAATTGTGCTCAGTCAAGATATGTGTTTTTATGACACTTCTCGCATTAAACACTTGCTCGATGCTAATTTGTTGGGAAATGAGAATTTCTTAATACATCTCTTGATACTCTTAGGCACCTTGCAAAATTCCTTTTATGCCCCCTGTTTTCGGAGATACACATCCGGACGCACCTTTTTTTTTCTTTATGCTAGATGCTTCCAGAGACACATATACGAAAAAAGTTTCGTAGATGCATCTCGGAAATCTTATCAGAACAAGTTTTTTTATTAAAAAAATCAAGTTTCGTTGGTCGCAGATGGAAATTAACTGTTGTAGATGAATATAAAATAATATACATCCGTAAATAAAATAAAATAATATATATGTGAGAAATAATATGTCATAATCATTAAAAAAATAATACATAAATGTCATCAAAATATATACATAAAAAAATACATCACAGTCACTACTGAATCCTGACGAGGCCTGTGATGAACCCTCACCTAAATTCCAACGCCTCAGGGATGAAGAAGTCGATGATGGAGTGGGATACGAGGTCGAGGGAGTGTCCTGGACATGTGATTAAGAAGGTTGTCCAGTAGCTTGTGCCTTAGTTGTATCGGTCTCAGTAACGGTGGTCTGGCTCCGCTGACGTCTCACAGATGCATGCCTCGAAATCCGTCCAAGTCGCAATCTATCGTCTCTGTATGCCATAATGTCTACAACAGAATAACCAAGAAAATCAATTAGATACAAATAAATAAAAAACAAAAAAGAAAAAAATTAACATTTTATACTTCCGGATATACACACATAGAACAAGTTTCGTAGATGTATTTATGGAAGAACCCAAAATTTAAATATTTCGGTTGTTTCGGAACTGCATCTACGGAAGTGTCCTAACATTAAATTATTTTGTAGATGTAGATCCGGAACAACCTGCAACTCAAAGGTTACAACAATGGCATCCCTTACCCATACAAATGCGATTTTTGAAGCCCTGGTCGTCTATTTCAACCAACAAACAATACCTACATTGTCTTTAAACTATGTTTCTAAAATTATCTAAGGATTTCTAGCCCTAAAACTATATTCTAATTCGTTTACGGGAAATACTCAAAAATATCCCGGAAACTCAAAATCTTACCGATTATATCAAACTTTGAATGTGTTGGTGTTTCTTGATCGTTGAAATGAACGCTTCTTGTCAAACTTGATTGAAAATAATGAAGTTTGGTGCAAAAATATTTTAAGTTTGAGAGAGTTTGAAAAGTTTGAGAATGAGAAGATGAAAAATGAAGAATGAGAGAAGAAAAAGACTCTGACAAACATGTATTCTAATTTATTCTGAAACTATATAAATGAAAATCTTTCGTAAATATAGTTTTAAAAAAAAACAACATTGAATAAAAAAAAGTGTATATAAAAATATATCTCCTAGTACGTAAGAAAATATATCTCCAAATAAAACAATATTTTTAAAAACACATATGATTCGTAAGAACTTGAGAGATAGAGTAACAACATTTAATTTCAAGATAGTTTCATTTTATTGCGGGACCTAAGCCTTCTTTGTGTAAATTTTTTTTTAAAAGGTGTGTTAAATTTTACAAAAATTGAAATACTCTCATGAAAATTATGGTGTCTAAAAAATCATTTCGAAAAGGGTCAAACGAGTAAACGCATACTCCACACCCTAAAACCTCTTCATTTCCAATAATCCACTCTCTCCGTCGCCGCTGCAACATGACGGAACTAAAGCTATCCGAAAGCCGCGACCTAACGCGCATAGAGCGCGTCGGAGCTCATTCACACATCCGTGGCCTCGGTCTAGACTCCTCATTAGAGCCACGGGATGTCTCTGAAGGTATGGTTGGCCAAGTCTCCGCTCGTAAAGCCGCCGGCGTCATCCTTCAAATGATAAAGGACGGAAAAATCGCCGGCCGCGCAGTTCTCCTCGCCGGACAACCCGGAACCGGCAAAACCGCCATCGCTATGGGGATAGCCAAATCTCTCGGCCTAGAAACGCCGTTCGCCATGATCGCCGGCAGCGAGCTCTTTTCACTTGAGATGTCGAAGACCGAAGCCCTAACACAAGCCTTTCGCAAGGCAATCGGTGTGCGTATCAAAGAAGAAACGGAGGTGATTGAAGGTGAGGTTGTTGAGGTTCAGATCGACCGTCCGGCGGTTTCCGGTGCTGCTGTGAAGACAGGGAAGTTGTCGCTGAAGTCGACGGAGATGGAGACTGTCTATGACCTCGGCGCGAAGATGATCGAGGCTATTGGGAAGGAGAAGATTACGAGTGGCGACGTCATTGCCATTGATAAGGCTTCAGGGAAGATCACGAAGCTTGGTAGATCGTTCTCTAGGTCGAGGGATTTCGATGCTATGGGACCACAGGTGAAGTTTGTGCAGTGTCCTGATGGAGAATTGCAGAAGAGGAAGGAGGTTGTTCATTGTGTTACTCTTCATGAGATTGATGTTATTAATAGCAGAACACAGGGATTTCTCGCTCTTTTCACCGGTGATACCGGTGAAATCCGCTCTGAAGTTCGGGAACAAATTGACACTAAAGTAGCAGAGTGGAAAGAAGAAGGAAAGGCAGAGATTATCCCTGGTGTTATTTTCATTGATGAGGTACACATGCTTGATATAGAGTGTTTTTCATTTCTAAATCGGGCTCTCGAGAACGAGATGTCTCCGATATTAGTCGTTGCTACCAACAGAGGCATCACAACTATTCGTGGCACGAATTACAAATCTCCACATGGAATTCCTATTGATTTACTTGATCGTCTACTCATCATCTCGACTCAACCTTATACCAAGGATGAAATTCACAAGATTCTGGATATCAGATGCCAAGAGGAAGATGTAGACATGAGTGAAGGTGCGAAGCAATTGTTAACCAAAATAGGTGTGGAAACATCCCTGCGATATGCCATTCATCTAATAACAGCAGCTGCTTTGGCCTGCCAAAAGCGAAAGGGAAAGATGGTGGAAATGGATGATATAAACCGGGTTTACAATTTGTTTTTGGATGTCAAAAGATCGACACAGTACTTGATGGAATATCAAAGTCAATACATGTTCAGTGAAACAGGTGAAGTTGATGAAGATGATGCCATTGCTATGGTCGCATGAAATTCGTGCTCATTAGTTTGAGCCTTTGTAATTATCTGAGCAGTTGTTATTTGTGTAAGTTGCAGCAGTTTATTTATTTCATGAACTTCATTTGTAATTGATTTTGAGCACTAGCAGTTTTTCCAAGGTTGAATTGCAGTATCTACAATGCTCACATGAGAGGCTGTGCTGTAACTTATTTCTACTCAACTTTTCCAAGACTTCTTTTTTATATTGGTTGTCTCGTGTGAGCAATATCATTCCCATTCATAGGTTGTCAATAGATTATAGAGAATAGTTCAAGAATTAAAAAGATCATTTCTTTTTCCACGTATGCATTTTATATCAACTGTGTGGAGTTCTTATTATATCTTTGAATTTTAGAGATATGTCTTCGGACATATTTTATTTTTGATTAAATGTTAATAAATTTTAAAAATATATCTCCGAAAAGAATTAAACCTTAAACGTTCACGGCGTATCTCTCATAACCCAATTTTTTTTTTATATTTTTGAAAATGTATCTATAAAAATATTTTGGAGATACATCTCTAAAGTTTATTAGAATAATTTTTTTATAACAAGGTGTGTATTTGTTTTTAGATGAATTATGAAGAACGATATCAAATAAAATAACAGACATAGAATAATATAGTCATATAATAGTAAAATGTTGTATAACACCAAATCTAAAATGTAGTAACAATGTCAGAAAAAAAAAGGTACAAACTATAGTAAAACATCAAACTAATAACAAGCTCCTACTAGGTGTGCCTGACAACCTCTCTTCCACCTCCTATGCATCCTCTGTCTAGTCTGCCTCCTCGGTCATCGATCTCACTCATCCTTGTGTGATGTTTGCGTTACAATAGTGCCCTATGTGCCTCCGCAACCATGGCATCTAGTACTCGTCGCACAACAGAGCCCTCATGGAATATACTCTCGTCAATGTCTGCCCGCGCAATCTCCATTATGCGACGACACCAAGATAAGACATCCTTAGTATGATTTAGTTGAGTCTGCCACTCCTCTATAATCTTCTGATGAGAGGGTCTCGACGGATCTCTTGGAGCAGTTGGCACCATGCATGGACGTGAGACCCTGAAGAACCACCTGATGTATTCGCCGATGTAGCTCCAGTCATTCGGCATGTTGGATGACGCTTATAGTGCATTATCTGATGTCTAACGAGCTTCTATCAGACGAGTTGGAGGCAAAAAAGGGTCTAAAAATGCGCAGAAAAATACACCATGATGCATTTGAAGCCCTATAAGATAGAAAAAGCATTTCTCGTATAAAGGTATCGAGAAGATAACGAGATTGCCATGATTCTCACAGAGGTTCACCAAGGAACATGCGATAGTCATATTGGTGGACATGCTCTTGCTCATAAGCTACTCAGGGTGGGTTATTATTGGCCCACTTCGATGAAGGATAATGCAAAATTCATCAGGAGATGCGTCAAGTGTCAGAAACATTCTAACCCCCATCACACGCCAATCAAAATTTTCCACTCTGTCACGTCGCTGTGGTTGTTTTACTAATGGGGAGTGGACATACTAGGTCATTTTTCGTCGTCGCGTGGCCAAGTGAAATTTCTAATCATTGAAGTAGACTATTATACGAAATGGATAGAAGTAGGGATCCTTTTTAAAAACATGACAGAAAGAGTTTGTCGCTTGTATTGACATCATATCATATACAAGTTCATTTGTCAAAAGTCATCATCTCAGAAAATGGCATGCAACTCGCCAACTCATTTGTTGTCAATTTCTTCAAGACCTGGGGATACCAATAAAGTTCATCTCGATTGTTCACCCTCATGCGAACGAGGCCGAATTTATGAACAAGGTGATATTAGGCAGAATAAAGAAAAGGTTGGACGACACCAATGAACTGTGGGCTAAACAACTCCATGAAGTTTTGCGGTCCTATCACACCATTCCTAATTCAACCACCAAATAAAACCTGTTCACAATAGTATACGACGCCGACACCATGCTACCAATTGAAATTGACACGCCCGGATGGAGGAGAAGTCAATTCAAGGAAGAGGAAAATGAGGGAGGACTTAGATGTGTGGATGACCTGATCGAAGAAACCCGTGACATCGCCCACATCAAAGAATTTGTTGCCAAACAAAGGGCCGCCAGAAGATACAACTCCAAATTGGTCCTAAGAGAAATGCAGGAGGTCGACTTCACGCTCGGACAGGTGGTCGTACTAGTCCGCTTGGGAAAGATGCAGCCTAACTGGGAATGTTCATGCCACATATGTACAACATTATCTCATGGCACAAGATCGAAGAACTAGATGGAAGACTCACCCCTAGGACATGGAACTCAGTTATCCTTAGATACTATTAAAATTTGTCATTTACTATTCTTATTCAATAAGGTGACAGACAATTGGCCTGCCAATGTTTAAATTTTCTTAAAAACATCTTACTTTAAATATCACAAATAAGGTATAAATTTTCCATAAAGCGGATGACCCTAAAAGGGGGCACCCCATCTTAGAACCTGATGAGTGATGAGATCAAAATGTTTACATTGGAACTTCAATGAAGTATCATTGTCATCCCCAGAGGTAATGCTTTTGTTAGAACTTTAATGGAGTATTCTTTCGCCCTTAGAGGTAATGTTTATGTTGGAACTTCAATGAAGTATCCCTGTCTCCTTCAATAGCAATGTTTATTATGAAACTACAACGAAGTATCTGTATTGCTCTCAGAGGCAATGTTTTATGCTGGAACTTCAAGGGAGTATCCTTGTCGTCATTAGAGACAATGTTCATTACGGAACTTAATGGAATATCTTTAACGCCCTAGGAGATAATGTTTATGCTTAAACTTTGTCGTCGTGGAAAAAAATTAAGATTAAGCTATTGATTAATTTAACTCGAAAAGTAAGAGTTGCCACTGAACTTTATTGTTTCCAAAGGGTAAGGGGAAAATTTTCGAATAAAACCCACACAAGTAAAACTAAAGAGAAAATCTGGATACTTGAGTTGGTTATGCAAGGGGAAGGTATTAACATTCCACACATCTATGGTACTCCATAGGAACCACTTGCAAATTTGTGTTTATAAAAAAGTTGGGTTGTTTCTATATTGATTTTAATTTGAAAAGACATGTTGTCGTATTTGAGTGGAAAACTCAACTTACTACCCACAAGTATGAGGAAATGAGCATTTGCATAATCTTGATATGAAGAACTTTCACTTGGACTTTCTCACAAGCACGTCTTAATATTCAAGTGGAAAATATCAATCACTTCTCAACATATTGTAGAAGTATAATGATTTGCATCACTATAAGAATTAGGAATGACAATGAATAGAACCAACTCGAAAATATTTTGGAACTCGGTCCGATAATTAAATCGTCGAACTAGGTTCATGAACCAAATGAGCTGAATATGAGCAAAAAGTTAAGTCCGTTAACTAAATGAGCTGAACTTGATCTATACATAGTTCAACTCGTTAGGTTCATGAGTCAACTCGATTATATATGAGAAGAATTATATTGTTTTTAAGAGTAAGTTTAAATAATTACTCTAAATCTTAACAGTTTTTTTAATCTAACAATTTTAATTGATAATTTACATTCTCAAGTAAACAAAATATTATTAAAAATAATTATGCAAATAAAATCAACATCATATAAACTCTAATTGATTAGTTTTTGGATTAGACTTTTAAATATATCTCTTGAAAGTTGAGTAGTTTTTGAATTAGTAAATTTTTTAGACAAAGTTAAATTCCATTAAGATAAGTTTTAATTTATTTCAATATTTAAAAAAATATATATTAATTTCAAATGTCAAATATATATATATATATATATATATATATATATATATATATATATATATATATATATATATATATATATATATATATCTCAAGTGAGAGGGATTTTAAGATGAGAGATGAGAGGAATTTTAAAATGAGAGATGAGAGGGCATATCAAGTGAGGGAGATTTTAAAATGAGAGATGAGAGGAGCAAACAACAACCATTAGATCATGATTAAACTTATTTATTAATGTGACTATTTCTCTCTCTTATTAACTTGGATTTCATCTCTCTTATTAATTTGATCTAATGGTTGTTGTTTGTTACTCTCATCTCTCATTTAAAATCACTCTCATTTGATATGCTCCCATATATATATATATATATATATATATATATATATATATATATATATATATATATATATATATATATATATATATATATATATATATATATATATATATATATATATATATATATATATATATATATATATATATATATATATAAATGAGTCGAGTTTGAACTTTAAAAAAAACTCGTGTCAAACTCGAATCGAAATTTAAACTGAACCAATTCTTAATGAGTCGAGCCGAGTTGAGGCGAGTTCGACTCGACTCGACTCATTTTCAGTCTTAATAAGAATAAACTAATATCCGATCTTTAAAAAAAAATTCTTAAAGAAAAGTGCACAAAAGCATAAGAAGAAGTTTGATGTGGTTTGTCTTTTTTAGAAGTTTGAGAAAAAAGTTTAAGTATACTTAAGTGTTTTAGCATTTATTAAGAAAAATATTTTTTGGATCACTTGAAAAAGTCAAGGTTTATTAAGAAAAATGTGTGAAGTTTGAAAACAATAAGTTTTTAGAATAAAGAGAAGTTTTGAAAATGGAAGAAGTGAGAAGGAGATGAAGAGATTATCCTAAAGCATAAAGTAAATGACATAAAATAAAAAGTTTCACTGTAAGGTAATCCAAGATAAAGTCTTTGTGTGTGTAAGTGTACTAACCACAAGGTGGACCACACATTTGACATTGGTTGAAACAAGCATTCATTTTCCTTTAGATTGAACCACAAGATGAACAAGCACATGAGCAGATGCTATATCAAAAGATCCAGATGAACAACAAAGTCACAAAGCCACAAAGAACATTCAAGTCTTAGATTGAAGATCAAAGGGCCCCAGAAGAATCACTAGGTCTTAGATGTATCACAAGGTCTCAG